AGGAACATGGCGCCGATCAGGCCCAGTGCTGTTTTCCCGGTGTTGTTAAGTTTTTAGCTGACTGCGGGCGGCTGCTGCCAACACGATAAATGATAAATTTCTAGAGGCTGTTCCACTCATCGCATGTCGCTTTACGGGTTATCGATTCTGACCCAGCTTTTGGGGTTCAATGAATGACCTCAAAAGTTGGGTCAAACCCTCTTTGACCATATTGGGTTATTTTTGACCCAACTGTAAAATGAAGCGCCCCAAAAGTTGTCTCAGTACCCCTTTGACCCATATTGGGTTTTTTTTTTTTAGGGTGTCTTGACTTGAAGCAGATGAACAATGCATCAAAAAAATGTTTTTCCCTTTAAATCAGTAAATTATAGCCATAAACATAAAAAAAATATATATATTGTAAGACTTCTTTGGAAAATATCCATTACGTATGGAAAGAGTCCGTCGCATTGCTTTTCTTGATGACGTCATGTCAAGCTGACTCGCAATATGTTCTGTAGCCGTGCCTAACGAACTCTCGGAAAAATCTGTTCTTCTTGACGAGAAATAAAGGAAACACGATTCTTTGCGATGCGGTTCATCATCGGAAAGTTGGATTTGACAAACACAGGAACTTGTCGTATCCGTCTCACCGTTCTCGCTCGACTGACGCAATCATTTCAATACAGCTTTAGATTGCTATATTTTTTTTTTCTTCTCATTGGTCCACGTGGGATTTGTTGCACTTCCTCCCGCTCGGAGCCCACCTGGGGCGCACTCACGCGTCTTTTACCGAGCAACTATGAGACAATCCACTCCACTGGCCCGCTGACTGACATGCAATTGCACGTTCGGCTTTGGAGATAGATTAGCTGTAGAAGCCAGTCAGGATCAAACCGCTCCTCCTTGGAGGCTCGGCGGCCCCGCGGTGAAGTTTTCTCAACATTTCGCTTCGGCAGCAGCCCAAATTATTCATCAAAAGTGAGCAGGACAAGAGGAACATACAGAATATTTAGTAATTGTTAAAAATAGATGCGACGCTGCCCGAGAAAATGGTCGCAAACAACATAAATCATGCATCCGGCATTGACACCTTTGACAGACTTTGGACACCCATCGGACAAACTTGGTCAAACTTGGTGCGATCTGAGCGTAACTCTCCAGATTTATGTCTGCTGTACATTGAAATCTCATCAAAATGACTCATGAGGACCATACATAATTCATATGGTGAAGGATCAGTGCTAACGTGTAGCGTGCTAGCAGCAGATTAGCATACGCTTCGTATGAATGAAAAAGACGAAAATATCAACGATTGCCTCGGCGCGTCTACCATTTGGCCTCCTTGACGCTTCTTCTTTGTCTGTAATTGTTTTCTCAAGCCTCGGGGGGTCAGGGGTGGGGGGTGGGGGGTGTCAGCACGGCCTTATTATGGCAGCTGATCGATGTGATTTATAGCTCCTGGAGGCCAAACATGCAAACTGTCTCATCTCCTGAGGCTAAAGCCCAGAAATCAATGGCTCACCAGCTGGCTGCGTGAAAGGTACTCTCGCCACAAAGCTTCACGGGAATGAAGTCGAGTCCACATCAGGCTTGAGGAAAAAAAAAAAGACAAAAAAAGCCACAGTTTCGTGATCCATTTGGATTGCTGTCAAGTGAGAAAGAAGGTTTGCCAGCATGCAGATGGCCGCCTTGTTAACATAATCCCATCAATGTCCTCCAGTTGTGTTGCTTTTCCACGGCGACATTTCACACGAGTTATATTTTTGTCGAACAACATTTAAGGAAGAAAAAAAAACCATAAATGAATACACCGCCACGAGGCTTGATTGTCAATGGTGCCGTTTTGTGTATATCGATCGCTGTGGTGCTTCAAGTTGATTGCCGGCAACATCGGGTACAATGGAAGCCCGCTTTCAAGAAAGAGCACATTGGATTCTTCTTTGCTCTTAATTCGTTTTCATTCCTGGTGTGGCGCATCTTCCGGCTGCTAGGCAGCCCATTAAAATCAACATGGGAGCACGGACGATCGATCCGCAACATTCTAACGTCGTGCCTTTAGGACTCGGGAGAAGGTGAGAGACTTTTGCGGCAAGGCGTGGATGACAGGGGGTGTCAGTTTCAAAGCTGGGTTGCAGCCTGAACGGGTTGACATTTGGCCAGCGAAGTACAACCAGAAGAAAGAACAACGTCATTTTTTTTTTTTAATTTTAAAGTTAAAATTGTACATGGAGCACCACTGTGGCTATTTTCTCCCCAGTGCTTTTTCTCTGGCTCGTTCAGTTTCCTCCTGTGTCCCAAAACTCACCGTTAGCATACATTCCGTCTTAGCGGCTAGCATACATTCCATCCGAGCTGTTTGGTTCAGTTCAGTTCCGATGCCATTTCCATTCATTTCCATTGTCTAAACATTCTTTGTACATGTTGGGGGGGAAAAAAGAAAACTGCCTCCATTTTTACCTGCGCGGCGTTGCTAAATGGCGTTGGCGCACAGCCCGGAAGCTAATGGCGCATTGCTATCACGTCCCCGGCGCGACTCCAGGGAGCTTTCTCCAGAACAACGGAGACGGTGCGGCGGAACATAAGACGCTGGACGCGCGCCACTAAGAAGCTCGCTGTTACCTTTGCGGGAGCATGAGCTTTCTTTGTCGACGCCGACTCGAACATCGTTTGGAGTCGGAGAACATGAATGGAAATCGTCGCTTTGTTGAGGGCCTTCGCATACCCGAAAAGCTGACTGATTTTGGCAAGCCGGAGCGCGGCGTCAAAATAGTCTGGTGTCGAAATGTGATGATCACTTTGAATATTCGTGAGAAGTGTCAGATCTTATTTTTCACAGGCTTGTCAATGCTTGGTAAGTTTCCGGGTGTCATGATTGAAGTCCACGGCTTGTACGGACAACTTCCGAGGGACGTAAAAGGATCATTCGTGAGGATCGGAATGCATATTTCAATGAGCCAATCAAGATCTGTTTACAAACGAGACTTGTATACGCTCACCCCCACCATATTTGCGCTTCTCTTTCCGAGCTTGGCGAAGAGTGAGTCGACGCCTAATGATTCAATTTGTTCAGCAGCTCGACTCATTTGCGCTCGATAAATGATTGATCAGAGGAGGGCCGGCCGGTAGCAAACATTTACTTATTCATCAAACATATTTCTGTTGAATGCTCATGTTTGTTCATTTTCTCATGCCCGGTCTTGCACGGCCCGCGAAAGCAATCGAGCGCCTCGCCGAGGTGCCATTGCACCTCTCGACGGGGTCTCAGTCGCGGCGATGTGGCGGTGAGGGAGAGCCTAAAGAATCTCGAAAAGTGGGAGAAAGTGAGCGGTGGGGGGCACTGAGTGAATTTCCAATCCTACAGGTTAATTTGCTGCCTTTCAGATTCAATTGGCGTGTCAAAACATTCATGAGGCAAAGCAGCAGCAGCAGGGTTACGGGAG